CGGGGCCCGGGGGGGTCCCGCCCGCCGCCCCTCCCGGGTGCCGCCCCCCGCCCGCCCGCCGGCACCGCGGCGCGGGAGCAGCGGGGGCGATCCCGGTCCCAGACTCCCGGTTCCCAGCCCCCGGTCCCAGGTCGCCGCTGCACGACGCCCGGCTGCCTCTGCCGCGGTCCCCCCGGTTCGTCCGGGGCGGCCCCGACATCTGCGCAGGGCAGAGGGCTGGGGATGCCCGGAGGAGCCCACCCGGACCACAGGACCGGGTACCTGATTTTGGCGAAACCGGCCGGCATTTCGGCACAGCCCCGCGCGAGGCACCGCCGCGGCTCTCACGAGGAGCCGAGCCGGGAATCTGGACCAGGCGTGGGTACCCTTGCCTGTCCCGATGTCTTACCTGCTGGAAGTCCTTGGCAGCCGGGAGAGCTCACGGGATGGCTGTGGGAGCCGCGGTGGGGGTACCGGCCTCACGCGGCCCTGGGCTACCCCGGTCCTTCGCGAAGCTGCCCAAGTGGCGAGCGCTGCCCTTGGGGCCGAGCCCCCGGAGCTGGGGAGTCCCGGGCGGTGCCGTGCCGAGGGCGTTCAGGCCGAGCAGGGCCCCAGCAGCGGTGCCGCCCTGCGCCGGGCAGACGATGCCCCCCTGCCCTCGCAGTCTCCCTCCATGCGATCCAGCTCCATCTTGCTCCTTGGAATGGGCGGTGTGTAGGGCACCGGGGCAGCCCCCCGGGGAAGAGCCTCCCTGCCTTGTTGAGCTCCCCAGTGTCTCTTTAAAGGCTCACTGGGAGGCGAGTGAAAGCAGCGAGTCCCGGGCATGGCACACGCTGGGTTTCAGGTCAGCGAGCTGCCGCCGCCGCCCGGGGCCATCCCCAGACAGCCTGGGGAGCGCTGCAAACACACCAACTCCCCCAGAAGTCAGCTGCTGGAGCAGAGAAACGGGAAGGAGAGGATGGGAAAGAGACCTTCCCGGGGTGACGGCCGGGGCTGCGTGTCCCCGCAGCGATGGCTCATTGCTCCGGCAGCCAGCACAGAGCGGCTGTGTCAGACAGGCGGCTCGCACCGGGGCGAGACTTCACACCACCCTCTGCATCCGATCATCGGCTCGCTCATTCCAGTCCGGGGGGCTGGAGCCTGAGGGCTCTCAACCTTCTCCGGGCTTGCACGAGGCGGACTGAGAGCTCTTTTTAGTGGCGAGCATCCTCCCCCTGCCCGCACGCCCGCCTCCCGCGTGTGCTGCCAGCCCTGTCCCTGTGCCAGGCAGCGCTGGCCGCTGCAGGGCCATCAGCGTGTCTCCATGTGTGTGATGTGTCAGACTGTGTGTGCCTGTGCTTGTTTACATGGGAAGGAGGCAGCGGAGGGAGGGGGAAGGGATGACTTTGAGGGAGGCCTCAGAAAAGAAACAAAAAAAAAAAAAGAAAAAAAAGGGAAATTCCTCTGTTCTGTGATATGAAGCAAAAAGCATTTATATTTATGGCAATTAGGGATGGCTGAGCATCCCTGGAAGCTGCAAGATAAACATGTCCATCTTTGTCTGCTCCAGGCAGATGCAAGCCTGGCTGACAGTGGGTGCTGAGCCCCAGCGGGGTGCAGCCCACAGGGTGGGAGGAGGGCTGGCTCCCACGTGGGGTTTTCTCCGCCTGTCACTGACATACGGTGATCAGGGTGAATTTTCTTTTCCCTTCTGAAAATAGTTCTCATCCAGCCATTTTTCAGGGAAGGAGCTGTGCCTGGTGCTGCAAGGGCGCCCACTCCATCCGGCACTTTGTGTCTGCATCAGAGCCCCATTTATGCTCTGCCACAGACTAACCTGAGCCCTGTCCCCCAAAATCAGCTCTCCCAGCACCAGGAGGTTTGCTGAGCGTCCCTGAGCTGTGTGGAGGAACTGTAGTTTGAGTGGGAAGCAAGGTAGGGAGTTGCTGGGGCTATGCCCCTACTGCCCTCAGGCTGGAGGAATCACCCTGGGAAGAAGGAGGGGAGACACCTCCATGTCTCCTGCTGCAGGCCAAAGCTCTGGCTGGAAGCAGCTGCAGAAGAGGGAAGTTCACCTCCCAGGCTGCAGAGGCCCTGTGCAGGTTTGTGCTTGGCGTCACAGAATCCTTCAGAGGGGACTTGGCTGCAGCATCAATGGCACCTGAGGTGAATTTTCCCTTTTCTGCACAAACTTGGAGGCAAAAAGCCCGACTCTGCCATGAGCTGACCAGAGCTTGTTGGCCTGACTGTGCACTGACACTGGCAAGCTGTGGCAGGAAAGGAAGACTCACATTTTAAGGCTCTTTCCCAGCAACCTGAGGTGTAAGGGCCCTTCCTCGGCCCAGCTGGGTTTGCCACTGCCCTGGGAGGGTGCAGCTCCCCGTGGCACAGGCCAGCCCCGTGCCCCTGCCGCCACTCCTGAGCTAACTGGCAGTGATGTGGAGATGGGAACAAGCAGAAAATCAGGTCAGCTGGAAACGCCTCGCCATCTCTTCCTTTCATGTCTCCCCCCATCTTCCTCTCCTGAGGAAGGCAGGTCTCCGCCTGCCGCAGCCCAGGGCGGATCATGTCGATAACCACACGGCCAATCCTCCACGCGGGGATGGGGGCGAAACCTCTCGCCGTGGTCCCTCCTGCAGCCTGGAAGAGAATCTCAGAGGCAGGGTGAGGCTGAAGCCAGCAGCCATTTCAGTGCTGCAGTGAGTCATCCCGAAAGGCGCTCAGCTTGTGGCAGCTCCCTTCCTTTCTTCTTTCTGCCTTCTTTTTTTTAAATAGCTGATGTAGCAATAAATTAAAAAATAGCGGAAAATATATATGAATGTAGCATGTCTGCAGAGCCCCTTTAATTAAAGGGAAAAAAAAATCTTCAAGCAGTTTTCAGCCCCTTGGATATCTCCCGAGAAGGCCAGAGCTGCTGGGTACCTGCCACGTGGGAGGGTGGGATAGAGCAGCTCACCTGCAAGGGGGATCCATGGAGCCAGCGGCTGATGGGGGCTGATTAATGCCGGGGACATGAGCACAAAGCGTGGCACAAATAGTCCTTTCCAGAGGGAAAGAGCTAAATTAGGGCAGATGCAAAAGCCTGGTCTTGTGTTTCTCAGCGGCAAAGACTTTAATACTAAATACATGGGCTTTCCCTAACAGTCTTTTTTCCCCGGTGGTTTCTGTGCTCGCTGGTGTGTTTATCCCCCGAGCTCTGGGAGGGGGTTGCTCCAGCTGGAGGGGTTTGGGCTTCTCCTTCCCATGCCATTGGCTACTCCCACTCCTGTGCCATCAGCTGTCCCTGTTCCCATGCCTCTCTCTGGAGCCAGCCCATGGGGTGACGGGGAGAGAAAGCCGAGCTGTGATGGCAGCATCCTCCAAGCAGGAGGAGAAGATTGGGGACACAAACTCTGGGGGATCCCATCCCTACAACCCCCATCTTCCTCCCAGAGCCACAGGGTGTCTGTAGGTGCTGCTGACAGGGGGATATCAGCCTGCTTCATGCTGGAAATTATTTAACCAGCCTCATTCGTTCTCCAGAGCCCTTGGATACACCTGCACATCCAGCCCCCTGCAGTAAGGTGACTCATTGCCATCCATAGGATAGGCTTGTGGAGCATGGCCTGCAACAGCCCATGCCTCTGACAGCCTGCAGCTCTCCTGGACTGGAGTTTTACTGAGCCCACTGGGTGCCTGAGCCAGGAAAGATTAATGAACGTTCCTGAACCTGCTGGAGACCTTGGCTTGCGGTTGGACTCCAAAGCTGTAACTGGAAACATGAGGAAATCTGGAAAGTCGTACCGCAGTGGAGGTTATTTTTTATATGGATGGAGAGCCTCCGGAGAGGGAGCAGGGAGATGCTGCAGTGTAAGGTCAGCCACTTCAGAGCAGTGATTTACTACCTGGAGGGCTCCCACATGCCTCGAGCATATGCATTGCCTCCATCTTACAGCAGCTTGCAATCTCCATGTGCTGCACCCCTTCCCTCTGCTCTGTCTCTGTCCCAGGTTGTTTCACTGTCCTCCAACACCCAAGATACAACCCCAAAATTGAATTCAACAAAACCAAGGGCCATTCCCAGGCTCATCATTAACCTGCTGGAACGTCTCAGGCCAGGGCTTCCCATGGGCCAGGCAGCCCTTTCCAGACCATTCCCAGGCTGGCTAGGAGCTGTCACAGGCAGGGGTGCTGGCAGAAAGGCAGTGTGGTGTCAGAGGAAAGGTTAATAGCAGGACTTGCTCTGTTCCCTGACACCCAGCTTTGGTGCCAGTCAGCCCAGGCACATTTCATTTACCAGTACAGAGAAAGCCACGAGAAACAATCATCATACCCACACTTGCACAGGCAGCACGGGCTCACTTCTTGCTTTCTCTGCCAGGAGAGAGACACATGAAGATGGAGCACAACTTTAATTGTAATTAAATCTTACAATATTGCAGGTTGAATCATGTGGGTAACCAAGAGTGCAGCGAGCTTTGACTTTCCACAGGCTCGTGCAGGGCAGACTCTTGCCCTGCATTTTGCTTTTGATAGATGTGCACAGCCACGGCCACGGAGGGAGCGGGTGGTGGCCTCTGATTCCTGTGAGTGTGTCCAGGCAGGATGGAGCAGTAATTAACAGGGGAGGGCAAGGATAAAGGGAGATGCCATTTCCCTGAGACTGATCTGATCCTGTGGATAATTTCATCCTACAGCAAATCCAGGTGAGGGCCTGGCGCTGGTGGAAGCAGGGCAGCAAACCTGCCCTGAGGCTTTGCTTCTCCACCAGAGATATGGAGAAAGAGTGGCCGATGGGTTTCAGGCCCTTCAGTCCCTGCCCAGCTGGAAATTTCAAGGGAAAGCTGGTGAATTATCACCACTATTATTTTGCAGATGGAAGTGCCCTGGTGGTTTGAGGCTCTGGGTGAGCTCCCAGCTCCCATTCCAGCCCTGCCTCCAGCTGCCTCTGTGTTTGTGGGGATGTGGTGCAGGAGCAACTACAGCTGGAGATGCATGTGTGCAGGGAAGGGGCTCACCTGTCTCACCTCATGCAGCAAGGATGCTGAATTTTGGGTTCTCTGCAGAAGGTTCAGGCAGTGCTGGGAGTGGTGAGAGGGCTCTGGTGCCAGAGGGCCTCCATGTCTCAAGGCTCTGAAGGATGCCAAGGGACTCTCTGGCTTCCTCATCCCATTTCTGCCTCTCCCTCCTACAGATATCATCCCCGCAAATGAGGAGGAGGACATGGGGCTGATGGAGCTGCAGCATTGCTGACCCACCCTGCAAAATGCTGCATTGCTCAGGAGTGGGGGGATGTGCCACCCAGGGCTGCAGGGTGGCTCTGGGGGCCCAGGCTGGCACGAGACCCCCTCGCTCCCCCAGGAGCCCTTGGCAGCAGCTCAGCCCTGCCGTAGTTCAGGGCTGGTGACTCACTGCCAGCCCTGGGAAGGCTGCAGAGCCACGGCAGGGGGGAGCAGGGGTGCCTGACGGCTCCTCGGCCTCCTGATAGATATTCCTCTGCTGCTGCATGGAGAATCACTGGTGTCTCCATGTCAGAGCCCAGATTTGCAGTGCTGGCTGTGGATTTTTCCCTGCTGTACAGCTGGCCTGGCTGCTTGTCGCCGTATTTTTGTAGTTTTTAGGCTTTTTTCTAGGAATATTTGAGGAAGCAGCGGAGGAGAAGCCAAAGATGCGGGATGCAGGTGGATAAGAGCTCGCTGGCTGAGCCTGGGTGGCTGGGAGGGGCATGGGCACTTTTTCCTGCATAATGCACACAGGATCCCACATTTCATCACCTCCTTCCACCACCTGCCATGTTGAGGGCACTCCTTGTTCTTTCATGGATCCACAGAGTTCAGGGCTTGCCTTTTTAGGCATATTCAAATACCAAGAGGGGACACACCTACCGTCTTTCCAAAGTCTTGGAGCAGTGGAAGAAGCATTTGTGTCCCAGGAAGATACCTTTTGGTGGGCAGCCTGTGCTGGGATGCAGCATGGGATCCAGGCAGAAGCCCCATTTGCCTGGGCCCTGAAAGGAGCCTCCCAGTGACATGTTGGGAAAACATTTTTCTATTTTTAGAGACCATAGTGCACAGTGCCAGGGAGTCAGTACATGAGTCCCAAGCACTGGCCCAGCCCTGTGCTGGGCACCAGGGCTCACGTGGAAAGCAGTCGTGCATCTCAGGGTGCTCAGAGCAGCAGCCGCCTGCCCTGGGCTCATTAACGTGATCGAGTCACAGGAGCTCCTGAAGCAGAAAGGTATTTGGGCAAAGGCCTGCTGCCTCTTTTGGCCCCTGCTGGGTCAGGCTCTGATCATGCTGGGGCCAGGGTCTTCCTCTGATTGCCACCATATCTCTG